CTCACTAATCCCGATTCTGAGACTAGTGAGAGATGTAATGATGAGCCTCTAAGGGCAGGTTCAAAGAATAGCCACGGCACAGGTCAGGTGTGCGACAAACATTTAAAGTGCCTGGGTTCGAACAAGAAGTCCTACGGGTTCCAGATTTACTGTAGAAACTCCATATTAGTTTGTTCGAAAAGTCATCCAGTAAATAACACTGTTTCACTGTGTGATATATCTAACAAACAAATTAATATGGAATTGCTTACTATGACAGTGCTCACGTTTTACACAAATATTGCTATAGAAACAACGAGCACCCAAATAACCCATAGCTGATAAGCCTCTCACCCAGGTGGATGGAATTTATAAGTGATTAGTGACCGACAAGCCCAGTGATAAAAGTGGTTGTTTGTAAATAAACCACATCTTTCTTATTCATTTTTAGAATCATGTTGCACACAAGTTGAAATGGGATAAACGAAGCGCTTCTGCTCTCATTTCTGCATGGTGACGAAACGCATATTCATGCGAAAATACTGTCTTTTTATTGCTTGATATGCGCGATCTTTGACTATTTCAGAGTAACCTCTCGATCGCTGAAGTATTACAGCTCGTACGGCTATCGATACATCAGCAGCAGGTTTATACCAATAGTTCTTTAAATTAGACTTCGCGGTATAACACAAGAGGATTTCATGTATTCCACAAAACTGGTTGTACACCAGAAAAGCATGTCACAGTGCATTACATTTTTATTATTATCTGGTCTCCCTGTGAGAAGGACATCCAAGAAGATATCCTTCCTTGGTTTCTTTCTTCACACCAGAATTTTGAAGCTGGGTGTTGCTAGTTGAACTGATCTGCTACTGCTAGTCTCTGTCAATCATTTCCAGGAAAGCTGAGTGCGTTGTAGTGGTGAATAATCCCCCGAAATTACTAGCCCACATCATTGTTCATTCAACATTGGGGGCTGACCTCAGCTTTTTAAGTCGATCCGTTAAGCTGAAGCTTCGCAGTCAACCATCCACTTAATTTTGAAATGCTGTCGTGTAGCGTTCAGTCGGTGGTGCACAGTCCCTAGTTAGCTAAGTAGTCCTCTTAGCAATACAATACTAGTCCCAAAAATATCTCTCTCATTTGCAGTGTTTTGATTTGTCTTTAGTCCAAGAGGAACAAGTGCGATAGGAGTTGGCGAATAAGAACGTGTGTTTGTATACAGTGCACTTTGCGTAGACTCCCCTTTCCTTGCTTGAACTATCATTTATACATCAGTAATGAAATGTGAATCCTCCCACAAAGTTGTTTAGAAGAACATTCTGTAATTTGGTTGGATAGAATCCTGCTGACATAGGACCCACTGAGGAGCCTATCGCCAGCCTATCCGACTGTTTGTAGAGTTCATCATCAAATAAAAATTTACGTTCATGGTCAACCATAGCATCAGTTCTTTAAGGATCTCTATCGAAATCTCAATATTTATTGTTTCATTACTTATTTCCTAACTTACGTTGCTAACCGTTGCGATTCGAGAAGCATTGTTGAATGGTGATACCTTTGGTATTATTATTTCGAAATGTGTCTATGAATCTGAATGCATCTTTCACACTATATTTCTCTATTAGTTCGTGCAAAAGTCGAGAACCATTCAGTTGAAACATAGTATGGAGAATTTCACATGTCCCGTGTTTCGTCTACGTCTGATTATTTCATTCCAGATATATCACTTTTCTGATTAACACCATCTCTAACATATGTTCAAACTCAGATTTAACGGCTTGGAGTTTTTCTGGTGATAACCGCCGTGGTTTTGTAGAAACAGGTGGGCCGGCCGTTATGATGTGATGAGTGACGTTAGAAGTCACGCGTGGAATTTCAGGAGCCAGTTTGAAAACATCAGAAAAAGACTGAAGGACGTCATAGTATGGGCCAGCCGTGACAGGTGTTGAGTACACTGAGCTTATGAAGTGGCTGTGCATGACAATACGGGGGACAGAAAGCCTTGTGTTAGAATCTATCAACGTATGCTTACCAGCATCGACGAGCAACTGGTAGTACTATAAGAGATCCATACCAATAATGTCGGTGGGCACGTCAGCCACAATGAAGATCCAACGGAAAGAACGGCGAAGTCCAACGTTGAGGTGAGGTAATCTCCGACCGTATGCTGCGGTAGGCGAACCGTTGGCGGCACGGAGTTGTAGGGATGTTGGCCGCAGACGCTCGTCTGGTGTAGGTGGGATCACACTAGCTTCTACCCTGGTATCAACCAAGAAACGTATCCCAGAATGACGACCTGCGATTTAGGAGAGGCGGCAAAGATGTAGTTGGCCAGCGACGTTAGTCGCCATTACGTGCTGGCTCATGCATTTCCCGACTACTCGGCATCAAAGGTGCAAGCGCGAGTGCACATTGGGCATTGGCACCATAACGTCGGTGGTACCAGCACAGTCCAGTCGGGGAGTTTCGTGACTTCGGGTGCCTATTGCCAGTACTTGAGGAAGACCTATTACTAGATGAGTCTGTGCGACTACAGGCCTGAATTCTGGCTCTCACCTCTCTTCTGAAGCTACAAATCTCGTCAAGCTTGGTGATATGAGCCACTGAGTCAAACCTTGGTGACTTACCAGCAGAAGGATCCTCAAATTGGGCAGGACCGTCAGAAACCGAAGCCGAAACGCCCACTCTGGCCTTAGTGGACTCTACAGCCCTGTCGGCCTCCTGTGCTAACTGTAGTTAAGGAGAGTTGTGAAATGCTGCTCAGATACCCTGAACTGATTGAAGCAATCTTTGCAGACAAACCTGCTTCAGAAAGGCGTCATCGATCTTGAAACCAACCATTTGCCTAAGCATCTGTATGGACCTAGGGTCGCCAAGATGAACAACAAGAAAGAGCTCTTATACTTTCTGTTGATCTGTTAGTGCCACTCTCTTAATTAGGGCAACTTTGAGACCATCGAACAGGTTTGCAGATGGATCATCAAGAATGTCAGAAACTTCCGTCACAATGTTTTCGGGGAGGCTCACAATAACCAGGTTGGCCTTAGTTTCTTTTGAGTGAATATGTCTTAGAGCAAACTGAGCCTCCACATGACTGAACCATGCAGAAGGGTAGTGTCTTCAGAAAGTCGGAATCTGCAGGGTTATGGCCATCTGTGCAGGAGAGCCGTTTTCAGCCGTCATTTAGATAAGTTGTAGGCAAATTAAAATAGACGAATATAATATAAAATAAAAGAACACAAACACAATAATAATAGTATCAATGAGTGGGGCAGAAACTACGACAAGACGCCAAATGAAGCAAAATGTTTGAGAAGAGGAAGGGAAGTTGGCTTCGGGCTCACCACTTGTAAGTGCCCTAGGCTAACCTCTAGATCGGCCTTAACGTCAGCACCTACTAAACTTGCTTTCCTCGGTTAACCCTGATTAGTACACTACCTAACCTGTATGTACTGATGAATGAAGTCAAATAAAAGGTGATGCACTATTGTGTGCCCAGATACGAATTATATTAATACATTAAGCGAAAAACCAAAACTAATCTGTAGCAATAGTGTACTACTTGTCCGTTAACTGGCTGGGGTAACAAGCTCGAAGAGTGCGCTTAATGATACCAAAACGAGGGAGTGAGCCCCATGCGAGCAGTCACGCCGGAAGAATAAAGACGATGTGGCGCCATACTACATGAATGCGTTAAAGCAAAGGTTCAAACACTCAAGGTGCACTATACTTTAATATCATCACTTCTGTAAAAGACAACTACTCCTGACCCGTTATGAGGCTTTGTAATTATAAGTCTTTTCGCTATTTATCAGTCTGCTTAGTTCCTTTACGTGCTCTTTTGTCAAGAAACTTCTACAGTCATATTTGGTGTTTTTATATTGTCAATAACAATCTGATTCACAGGATTCGAAGTGTTCTAGTTTCACGTTGGAGGATGGAACTAGATCCTCTTTTATGATTATATAGGTTTCCTAGCTCAAGGTTCTTTCTTGTTTAGGAATTGATGGTATCGAACGTTCGCGAGTTGTACGGATTATACTAACGCAAGATCTTATACCAACAACCACTATAGTGTTCGTTCTTCGAGTACCAAATGGTAAAGCAAAAGACCAGATTTTGTCGTCCAAATACGATATATATTTTGGGACCAAATCGCGGGTAGGAATGAATGCTTAGCTAGCTAGTAATCGTGCACGCACGTGACACGACGAAGCACCAAATGGCGGGGATGCTTGACCGTAAGCCTTCAGCTAAACAAGTCGACTTAAACAGTGATGGTCAGCATCCAATGTTGAGTGATGATTGCTGTGGTTAATAATTTTGGGGAATTATTTACCGCTACAGCTCACTCCCCCCCTAGTGGGTTTGTGAGAACCCTAAGACATGACCAGCCGGAAGTAAAAAAATCTCGATGGTTCCCTGATGGGTGAAAAAAATCTTCCGAGCGGCTTGATGGAGAGCCTGCTGGTCTGTCTGCCTATGCTAATAGGGTGTCTGTACATAGCTTCCTCAGTGTTGTTCGTTGGATCCCGTGCTTCGTTTGTTTCCTGTCCAGTGCCCGTTGCACCTGGAAAAGAAAACAAGAATGCTGAGAACCTTGTCAAGAAAAATGTACCAAATAAGCGTTTTTTTTACCAAAAAAAAATGACATGCATGTACTATACAGTAAAATAATGTAAAGTTCAAAATATTGGGAAAAAAAATATACATCTTATATAATTTAATGTACGGTTATAGGAAAAATATCATTTACTTGTGTTAAATGACGCAACATAAAAAAAATTGATGTGTCACTCAGTTATGTGAGATAGGTGTGAAGGTATTCTGGGAATCTAACGTGACGTCCAGAACGCGTTTTTTTAGAAAGATCGACCGAAGGTTCGGTGGCTTTCGCCGTGCTAGGGAGTTCTTCGAAGACTGAAGTAGATTCAGTTACTTGTGAATTATCGGGTACGTTTAGCTCCAGGCTAATGGGGTTACCTTCCAAGTAAGCTGGTTTCAGACGGTCGATACTGACGGTGTCTTCGCGGCCTTTTTTGTCTAAAACGAAGAATTTATCAGTACGTTTAATCACTTTATATGGTCCGTCATACGGGGGTTCTAGAGGACGACGTACCGAGTCGCGACGAACAAATACATGTGAAGAAGTTTTTAAACAAGGGTGAACGAAAACATCAATGGACTGTGGTCGGAGGGGAGCAGGTTTAACTGAACGCATAGCGTTTGTAAGCCTGCTGACGTATGAGGAGTGATCTACTACTGGTGGGAAGCTCGAGGGAGAAACAAACTCACCTGGCAGTCGTAGTGTTGTGCCATATACTAGCTCAGAGGTAGTACAACCAGCATCGGTTTTTAAGGCGTTTCGTATCCCTAGGAGAACTAACGGAAGGGATTCAGTCCAGTGGGTGTTATTTGCAGCTGATAAACCAGCTTTCAACTGTCTGTGTAGACGTTCTACCATACCATTCGCTTGAGGATGGTAGGCTGTCGTTCGAAAACGCATGCAACCAAGGATTTTAGTCAAAGCGAAGAATAAACCGCTTTCGAATTGCCGCCCACGATCAGTTGTTATGGAAGATGGGCATCCAAAGTTTGCGATCCATCTCTCTACAAAGACGCGTGCGACAGTTTCAGCAGATATATCCTTGATGGGTACTGCTTCAGGCCATCGTGTGAAGCGATCGATGCAGGTTAACATATAGGTGTATCCATGAGATTCTGGAAGGGGGCCAACTAAATCTATATGGACGTGTTCGAAACGGGCATCAGGGATAAGAAAAGTGCCAAGGGGGCTTTTAGTGTGTCGTATTACCTTGCACTTTTGGCAAGCTAAACACGTCTGTGCCCATTCCCTTACTTCTTTGTTAATACCAGGCCAGCAAAACCTACTAGTTACGAGTTTGACAGTAGTTCGAATACCTGGATGGGATAAGCCATGCAACGTATTGAAGACGTTACGGCGATAACTTTTAGGCACGATGGGGCGAGGAGTACTAGTGGAAATGTCACACAGAATAGTATCCTTTCCTATACCTAAGGGTTTCTTGGCTAGTTGTAGAGTTGTTTTCGACAACTCACGCTGAAGCTCAATATCTTCTTTTTGAAGACGAGCCAGTTTCACAAGGTCTATGCCATCGATTTGGGTGAAAGAACAAATACGTGACAAGGCATCTGCCACAGTGTTGTTCACTCCGGAAACATGGCGAATATCTGATGAAAACTGTGAAACATAATCTAGTTGTCGCGATTCCCTGGGTGAATACTTATCTGAAGTTGAGTTCAGAGAGTACGTCAGAGGTTTGTGGTCAGTGAAAATGGTGAATTCACGACCCTCAACTGAATGTCGAAAATGACGTATAGCACAGTACATAGCTAGAAGTTCCCTTCCGAATGTGCTGTACTTCGTTTCAGCTACTTGAAGGCGCCTCGAGAAAAAGGCGAGTGGTTGCCATTCGTTGTTAACTAGTTGTTGCAGAACTGCGCCGATTGCAGTGTCTGATGCATCAACCGAGATACTCAAAGGTGCTGTTGGATCCTGATACATTAGAAGGGTGGCATCCGCAATAGCTTTCTTTACCTGAGTAAAAGCATGTCGAGCAGACGTGTCGAGTTCGATAGCCTTGTTGTTCCCTCGAAGGAGATCGGTTAATGGCTGAATTAGCGAAGCACAATTAGGAATAAAACGTCGGTAATAACTTACCAAGCCGTTAAAAGTGCGAAGGCACTTTACTGTCTTTGGCTCCGGAAAGTTCAGTATTGCTTCGACTTTAGTAGCCAGTGGGCGTATGCCCTGGCAGTCAATAGTGTGACCCAGAAAATCGAGTGAGTCAACGCCTATCTGACACTTCTGTATATTGATGGTAACACCATGTTGGCGTAACCTTTCAAATGCCAAGTCCAAGTGTCTAAGGTGAGTTTCCTTATCTGGACTGGCAATGAGGCAGTCGTCTAAGTATGCGTATACAAAGTCGAGACCGCGAAATACTTCGTTGATGAAGCGTTGGAATGTTTGGGCCGCATTCCGGAGGCCGAATGGCATACGTAGGAATTCAAAAAGTCCGAAAGGTGTGATGATAGCCGTTTTCGGGATATCTTCCGTTGCCATCGGGATTTGGTTATATGCTTTAACCAAGTCGATTTTGGAGAATATAGATGCTCCAGATAACGTTGCCGTCAAGTCGTGTATGTGAGGCAAAGGGTAGCAATCAGGAGTTGTTTTGGCGTTCACTCGCCGGTAATCACCAGTGGGTCGCCAATCGTTGCTATCCTTTTTCGGTACCATATGCAGTGGGGATGCCCATGGACTATTCGATGGCCGAATGATGCCAAGGGTGAGCATATGATCGAATTCGTTTCTGGCAATTCTCAGTTTGTCAGGGGCCAGTCGTCGTGCTTTAGATGTCACGGGCTGTCCTGAGGTTATGATGTGGTGCATAACATTGCTGGTTATACACGGGAGGTCGTTAGATGGGCAATTCAGTTCCGGATATTTATCAACAATCGGTTGAAAAGTTGGATCTAGGATTGCTTTCATCTTAACGATTGACAAGCTGGGGCCTACGTAAGTTATGCCTTTGATAGACAAACTAGTAGTGTTGTCAATTAATCGTTTACGGCGGACGTCTACGAGCAAATCATGATGATTAAGTAGGTCCGTGCCGATGATGGGCATTGTGACGTCAGCGATCAGAAAAATCCACTGAATAGGTTTGCGTAAACCTACGTTCAGATAGACGTATTTCCGACCATAGGTTGCAATTGGTTTTCCATTTGCAGCCTGTAGGTTGAGGTTAGGATCCTTCTGTCGATCTGCTGCTGTAGCAGGAAGGACGCTGACTTCGGCGCCTGTGTCGACTAGATATCTAGTCTGGCTAATTACATCATGGATGTAAAGTAAGCGGCTAGTGCCACCGGCGACGGTTGCCGCTAACGCGTGCCGGCGGGATAGTTTCCCACAGACTTGGAGGCTTTGTCAAAATCACAAGGTTTTCGACAACATTTTGCTTCCTTGCCATAGGTGTTGTGATACCAACACCAGTCAGGATTTTTGAGAGAACGTGTGTTGGACTTAGATCGTCCACGTACGTTTAGCCGTTGAGGGGATTTGGAACGACGGTAGGAGGAATTGCTAGGCTTGTTTGACCTAAGCATCTGCTGGACGGAGTTGATTAACTCTATCATTGCCGAATCCTTCTTCGAAGCCTGTTCGGTAACTGAGTATACTTCGGTAACTGGCCGTTTCGTTATCTCTAGAATTCTATCTGCAGAGACAGCTAAATCATCTATGAGAACACCCTGAAGTGTCACAAGTACAGTCTGAACTGACTGTGGCAGTTTGGATAAAAATAATTCTCTGAACAGTCCTTCATCGAACTGACTTTGGCCAATGATCTCTTTCATTCTTGCCAGCATGCTCACGGCTGAGTGATCTCCTAACTCGATGTTACGAAATAACTCATCCAGACGTTGTCGATCTGTGAGAACGTTTCTCTTGAGTATGGATGCTTTTAGCAACTCGTACGAGTTACTTACCGACATCTGCAGAGTTACGCATCTGCTGAATTCCCGCGGTAGAGCGTGAATAACTGCAAGGAACTGTGAACGTTGATCAGTTATGCCATGTTCACAAAAATCAGACTCAGCAATCTGAAACCACGTTTCAGCATTATCTGGCCAAAATGGTACTAGCTGAGTTGTTTTGGCGGTTGAGCGAATCTGAATAACCTTGGGGCTAGGATCACTCATGACGAAAAGTGTGCCGATAACAATATAGTACAAGAATAAACACAAAAAGGAACGAACTCACCGGGTTTATCTGCGTGTGAATTGAAGATGAAGTTCGAGGTTGGGCTCACCAGTTTAGGTGGCTGTAGGTATCGAGTGTTCGCGAGTTGTACGGATTATACTAACGCAAGATCTTATACCAACAACCACTATAGTGTTCGTTCTTCGAGTACCAAATGGTAAAGCAAAAGACCAGATTTTGTCGTCCAAATACGATATATATTTTTTTCCCAATATTTTGAACTTTACATTATTTTACTGTATAGTACATGCATGTCATTTTTTTGGTATTCTAAAAACTAACATGAACAAATGGAAAGAAAGACTTATAACAGAATCGATATTCATTAAGGTCACACCGGATACATGTAACAAGGGTGACTCAGTACAACTACCAACAACGTGGAATATAACTCAAATACAAAAAAACATGAATGAGCAAAAATAATGAACTATATATATGAGTACAGATCATAAATGTGTGAATCAAACAATTCCAACAGTGGTGTGAACACGGGCAGTAATTTTGCTCGAAATATTACCAATAACAAAACTTATCATTGCGTGTAAACTATTGAAATATAATTGTACTTTATTTGATCGAATCCACAATGCTCAAACTTTTTACTGATATTAATAAATAGATAACTGAAATTGACTATCATGAGAAAAGACGACTTACAAGGATTACTAATGCAGTGAATCCGATGCTGAAAATTGCCAGTGCCAATTTATCCTAGAACAAGATTTGACGAGGCGTTAAGCGATTTCATGTAATAACACCAAGTGCTGTTAAGCACAAAATATACACAAACACATAATGGAGGAAATTTCTAGTTCAGGTGGATGATTTTGATGTAATTGTGTTCTCTGAGATGGACAGATGATTCGTGATGCTTTCATTATCCTACTAGGCAACATTCTCATCATAGCGCATACTTCAATTTGAAGTGAGCTATTAAAATTCTCCACGAGTTTATTAGTCAACCCCGCTGGTAACCATGAACGTAAAATTGGTTGTTTTTGTGTGTTTTCACACCGTCTAGGCTACTTGCCTTTAGTGAAAAGCCTTCAAATAGATGACGAAGAAGTAATGGTCTCCTTCAACGTCACATCATTAAATACATCAGATGGACAGAAACTAGCAAACGAAACTGTAGAGCAGTAACTCAGCAACGACGAACACCTTCCACAACAATCAAAAAGACAAAACGCAGGTTGGATGGAATGCATAAATCTGTACCTGACAATGTACTTCTTATTCAGCGGCCAAATATAAGAACAAGTCAAAGGAACACACAGGAGATCGCCCATATCAGGTTTGGTCGCAGAAGCTGTGATGCAAAGACTAGAAAACATAATCCTACCAAAGATCAAACCCAAAATTTGGATACGTTGGGTAGGTAACACATTTGCGACAATCAGAAGAAACAACTTGGTCAAGACTTACCGCTTAATAAACAACATCGTAAATGACATCAGGTTCCCGGTATAAGTAGCATCTGAGGACAAAATTCCGTCAAGTGAACAACCACAGAAACTGAAGCTTACATAAAACCAACTCACGAAGGACAAATACTCAATTACAACAGCAACAACGCAGTAGCACACAAAAAGAGGTGAATACGACCATTATTCAAGAGAACCAGGCAGAATTTCAGCACTCATAACCTGAGGAAAATTCAAGAAAAATATCTCATGGACGTCTTCCAAAGGAACGGATATCTACGGAATTTCATCAAAAAGCCAATCTAACATATCAAAGTCTCTCAAGGAAAGCACAGAGAAAATCGCCATACCATATTAAAGGACATCCTAGAAATCAACGCAAGACTCTTCAAACCTTTAGGATTTGACGTCGCACACAATTCAACTAAATCAATCAATTCGGCTGGCTCGGTGTCAACCAAAAGACTCAACAGCCAAAGGAGATGAAACCAACATCGGTTGCAAAAACACTATATTTTTCAAAGTAGACGTCCATTTTGTCTTCGTATCCATGATCATAAGCTAGCCATCAAAAGACATGACATCCACTCAATCGCTCATATCGCTGCATACAGAAAACCACGAAGATCAATTTAAATGGGACAACGTTCGAATATTAGACTGCGAAAATACCAAGAATTCAAGAGAATTTTTCGAAGCCTGGTATTCCAGTGAATCGTCAAACAATAGACACATTGACATAGACAGGATTTCCCAGTCCATGAGAACGAGATCTCACACACAAAGGTTCAAAGTACAGGTCAAGGAAGAAATCAATACCGATACACGCAAGCTATAGGATGAGAAAATACACTGAAACAACCAATCACGACGTCCAATGTCACCGGGAGAGGTGACTAATCAACTCGTGGAGAAATTGAAGAGCCCAATTCAAATTGAAGTATTCGCTGAGGATGTAGCGTAGTATGGCTATGCAAGCTTTGCAAATAAACTAAACAGCTCAGAGAACACAATTACAGCAAAATTCACAAATATATTGGGGTTAAAATTGTTTGATGGTGTTGTTAATTGTGTACTGGTTAATGACTGAAGGTTAGAATCTGACCATGACCTGCAGCTGAGTTATGCTCAGGTATAGAGCGGGGTTAATACATCTCTGACAGTTTATTCGAGTCTTGCCCTAGACCGGAATT